GAGAAGAGATATAAAAACAACAATAAACCTTTCATCTCACAACATGCCAGATAAGGATTAAGATAAAGATCTTAGGGGGCATTGCTCCATTATGTGCTACTCCTTTGGGCTATAGGCGGAAAATGGCTAAAACAGTAACAAACATGCACGATATAAATGGGCATGGGTGAAGATTTATACAATTCACATAGAATCCATTTACCCACCTCGTTATCTATACATCCACCGAAGGTGAGAGGAAACTTTATCTGGGCAATCGTAATTTGGATATAAGCATATACTTAATTAGACTAGCACGTACAAACATAACAAAAGATACCTATTAGTACAATTTTATAAAGCAACAAGTAAATTTGCCGCGCGTCGCGCGGTCACAAAATAAATTAATGAATATAAAAAAGTCCTTTATAATTTTAATTCTATAATTTGAGAAAATTACAGTACATACATATACACGCACCCACTATATTGGTACTTTATAAAGTTTTTTGTAGTTTATGATAAACCAAAAAAAAAAGAATAAGATAAAAGGGGGAAATTAAAAATATGAAAACGGAGAAGAAGTTACAAATCTAATTTTTTTGATACTCTACGTAAAAAGAAGAAAGAAATGTACGATTCTTTTCTTTCATTTTTCCCTTTTATTTCTCTTTCCTTCTTTTTCTCCCTCTAAGTTATGTTTTCCTCCATCATTAAGATAAACTCCTTTTTTGTTCTCCTAATTTATTTTTGTAACAGACATATAAATAATTGTGCAAACTACACTATTCCATATAAATATACATGCGCAATTTCTATATTGGTATTTTTTAAAATTTCTTGTATTTATGATAAACCAAAAAAAAAAGAATAAGAAAGAGGGAGGAAATTAAAAGCATGAGAAAGCAGAAGGAAGACACAAATCCAATTTTTTTGACACATTACAAAAGAAGAAAGAAATGTACGAATTTTTTCTTTTCTTTTTTCCCTTTTGTTTCTCTTCCTTATTTTCTTCTTTTTCTCCCTCTAACTTACGTTTTCTGCCATCAGTAAGATAAACTCATTTTTTGTTCTCCTAATTTGCCTTTGTAACAAACATCTGAATATATAAATCTGCAAACTACATTATTCCATATAAATACCCATGCACAATCTTTAGAAAGGTGAGATTATCATTAAACATAACCAATTGAAAAAGAAAGATTATACATGACCAACATCCGCCAAGATTTCAGGCTGTAAATATCTCCCCTGAATCAAAAATAACAAAATATGTTAGGATATTGCCACAAAAGATAGATTGACATTAAAACTGACCAATTAAAAAGGAAAAATTACACATAACCAACATGTGCCAAAACTTCAGACTACAAATATGTCTTCTGGACCTGAAAAAATCAAGTATGTTAGGATATATTTTTGAAAATCTGTGCAACTAAGAGTGCTATCCTATAAAACTATAACAATTTTTAAGACATATGCAATCATGAAAATGAGTACAAAGAAAGTGAGTGAAAATAAAAAGTATAGAGGGAGAAGTGGGTGCTGGGGAGAAATATATAAAGATGATTAATTACTAATTAAAAGACAACCACATTAAAATGTGAGTGAAGGAAGAAAATAAATGCGTATGTTTAAATGAGGAAGGAGAATGAAACTAATAAGAAGGAGAGAAGACGTTAGGATAGAACAAACGTTTCTGGAAAGAGTATACATGGTAATTAAAAGGAAAGAAATTCATGACATATTAGACTATTAAAAATAAAATAAATGAAAAAATGAGGAGGGGGGGGGGGGGGAGGCAAAAA